AGCCGGTTAGCTTAGCATAGCACAAAGACTGGAAACAGGAGTAAACAGCTAGCCTGGCTTTGTCCGAAGGTCACACGCACCTAGCTCCTCTGAAGCTCACTTATTGCTTAATCTGTTCCCCCGTTTCCAGTCTTGATGCTAAGCTAAGCGGCTGCTAGCAGATATGAGAGTGGTAGAGATATTTTCATCTAACTCTGATCAAGAAAGCAAACTGTTCCTCAAAACAGACAGAAGATTTTCAACAAACCAGTGCAACTGGAAAGGAACGAAGGAGAAACACATGAAGGCATGACAGAGATGGTGCAGGAGTACAGTTTCTTTTTAGAAGAGGAAGGATAAAAACAGAAAGTGTCCGGTTCAAAAACAGACTCCCAGCTCTAACACATGGCTCCATAAACTGCGACTGTGCTGTCTGACAAGACAACTATCTGCTGCCAACAGCACGGTCAAACTGGTGGGGTGAGGGTAGAAGCTAGGAGTGGGTTTAGGACTAGACGTCCAGAGAGAAGGAGGAGGAGAACACTTGGTCCCTTGCTGGTTCCCTGAGGGTCTTACCTGCTCTGGTTTAGCAGCCTGTCTTTAGCAGTCGGTGGTGTTCCTAAAACCGCCACACAACATACCTGTCAACAGCCTCATCTATCACTGACTCGCTCTCAGAGGGGCTCTGCTGCTGGACATTACGGCCAGCCTTAGCAAGGAGGCTTCAAGCTGTCAATCTGCTGTGTATATCATCCAGTTAGACAGAAAATTGTTTGAAATCAACTTGCCCTCAGCTGATCTTACAACCACTTTAAAAACAGTGCAAGCTTTGTTATCTGAGTGTGTGAACTTAAACCATCACTGTGTGACTGCACAAATAAGCCTTCTTAAAAATGTTATCAATTACCCCATTGTGCTTTTCCTACCGTCACATGACCAAATGTCTGCTGCAAAAATAGTTTCTATGCCTCCACATACAATATTGATAATACATCACTTCAATCGTGGTAAATATTTGTCATTACAACAGCGAACACAAAAATCAAGGTTCGTATTTATCGAACTTCAAAATTACACTTAGGAATGAAATATAGAGCCAACTTAGGAGACAAAAAGTTCTTCACTGTAACCGAATAATAAGACCCATTAATCAAACAATAAACTCCTTACTTACTGCAAAGTGACGAAATAACCTTTAAAAGCAACTTTAGGTGATCACATCTATGCTTTGAGCAGGAATAGCCAATTAAAGTCAAGGATTTACCCTACATCTGACATATTGTTCATTCGGTAAAAAAAATACTTAACTCAATGATGAGTTATTCTGCAAAAAATATGTGCTTGTATTCTTCAAAAAAAAAAATCATTTATTTGTGTAAATTCCTTTTAAAATGAACAAATCTAATGTACTTATACTATCTGAACAGGGATGAAATTATAGGAAACATTTAGGGATGTACCAATGACCTTTTTTTAAACCCCTGATCCAATCTGAGTAATTTAATAGTTATTAATTTAAAAGTTATTTAAAAGGCACACCTGACGGCAGTTATCAAGTAGCCAATCTGATGAAGCAACATGTGAAATATGTAGTTTGCTAAGTTTTCTTTTGTTTTGAATGTAATAAAACAGTGTTAATCCCAGTAACTTGGTGTGTGCTGGAATATATTTGTTTGCTCTGCACCGGCTGGCAGCCAGGCGAGAAGCACTGCAGTGCACGGGGTATTGTCAAGTTTTTGTAGGATTTTTACTTGCAGGTGTATCCAACAGACCCACGAGTAAAGTCAGACTTACACATCGTTGCACTGATCGTTGGCAGCCTCCTCAGCCACCAGGATGTCGTACTCCTCTGCAGCGTATTTCTCCCAGTCTGAGACCTCCTGGCCGTCCGTCTCCACCTCCTTAAAAACACGACACGTTACGTGATACACTCGAGCTCTGACTGTCGTGATGCCATCACACATCTGGTGACATCCTATCTGTTTAACCTTACCCTTATCACAGAGAACGGGTCCCTCTGCTCGTGGTCCAGGTACTTCTCAATGTTGAAGAAAGTGTCGAAGAAGATGTGGGACAACTTGCACCTTTTAAGGTCCCGCAGAGTGATCTTACCTGGATGGAATAAAACAGGCACTTCAGACAGGTTCAAACGGGCCCAGTGACAGATGACCTAACGCATGGCTATTACTACACTATTGAAGACGTCTCACTTCAAAGTTTTTAGCTTGACTTTGCCATCCAATCTAGCTTTCAAAATTGGCCCGAGACTTATCTGACTCTGGTGTAAATGTCGAGTTTTTGGCACCAACGCTCACCCTAGCTCATCTTCTAGAGTGTCAAGGGTTAAAGATGTGGTCTTTTGCCGACTGATCACACAACGGCTGGGCCACAGTATTTCAATCTAAGGCTGTAACTAATTGTTGCTTTTATTATTTATTAATCTGTCAATCCTTTTCTCCTATTAACTAAATCATGTAGTCTCTATAATAACCAGTTGTCAGAACAATCAAAACCTCAAATTGTTTTGGTTGAAAAGCCAATGATACTGATATTCAATTTATAAAAATGTGAGTTGCCAGCAAATATTTGGATTTTTATTGAATTGACAAATTGAAAATTATTAATGGCCTATTAAAACAGTTATCATTTTCATCTGTTTCAAACCTGTGTCAAATATGTATAAAATGCAAGGCTGATTTTAAACATTGTACTGATTCTGCCAGCCTAACCTTCATGCCTTAGAAATCTCTGATACCTGAAATGGAGGGATGAGATTTTTATATTTCTGTAGCAGCCAAAAATCAGCTTCTGCTTCAGAAGAGACTTTTGGGTAATGAGAGCAACGTTTTGCATTCTTCAGCAGTGACATGTTAGACATTCTCTGGGTTGTTTACACTCATCTGATCTGCACATTAAGCTCCTTGTTATGAAATATAACATCTCTATACAGATAGAGTACATTTCATGTGCCTGCACCACAGAGCAGAAACCTCCTTTTAATGTGAAACTAACTTTTAGATCTGAAGGTCAACTGTGTGGGGGGGGAAGCACTACGACTCAAATACTAAGTCAAGAAGTTGTTACATCTCATATTACACGTTATATTACACAGCTACACTAGTACAGAATACCATCAGGTCGACCAAGGGTCACATTCTTGCTGTGGCCATCAATACTAAACATGCACACCCTCACCATGGAATAGTGTGTTCTAAATGGCGTAGTGGTAAATCTAAGGGCTGGAGGGAGTTTGTTGACCGTGTGGATAACACCAGCAGCTGGCAGGGGGCAGTCCAGATCAGTCAGTCAGTCTCTCATCTCTAATGTTCCCTCAGGTAACAATCAAAACAATCTGAAAATGTGTATGCGTGTCTGTGCCGGTCACTGTTAAGAAATTGCACCTGTCAGACTCTCTGGTGTGTGAACTTCTGAGTGTGTGCATAAATGTAAAACTGGTCTGACCTTCGACCTCGGGCTTGACGAGGTCAAGCATCTGGCAGAGGCAGTCCTCGAAGGGAAGGGGCTCAATGGCCATGGTCTCCAGCTTCTGACACTGCTCCTCGTAGAAGTACTCAAGCT